ATTAATGCCGAATGATGCTGAATTAAGGTCAATTTTAGGCTGATTTATGGTTGAATTTAATCTGAATGGTTATGTCCAATTGGAGTCAATCGGCGTCTATCGACGTCTGAATTGTTGCTGAATTGAGGCCAGTTTTAGGCTGATTTATGGTTGAATTTAAGTTCCAAATGGCCATGTCCGATTGGGATCAATCGGCGTCTATTAGCACCTGTTTGTAATGATCGGAAATCATGACAAATCAGCCATAAATAGTATCAAAATCGGCCTAAAATCAGCCATCTGATTTTTAGCTGATTTGGACTATTTCGACTAGTGTTATTTTAAAAAATATTTTTACAAATTCTTTTTCAATAAATCTGAATGATTTAAAACTTGAAAAATCTGACAATTACAAAAAAATAAATAATTATTGATTTGATTTAAAAAGAATATAACATTAATCCTTTTTTAATAGAATACTTAAATATAAATGATTATTATTTACTATTTTATTATATACTTATAATAATTTCTTTATAAGATCATTTAATCAATGAATTAAAATTTTTATATTATCATCTAAAATAAAATTATGAAAAAGAATTAGTAGTAAATAAAAATTGCATAACTAATCATATGGATTATATTAATCATTATCTATTATTTATATTTTAAAAATATACATAACAATATTTTTCATGATGTCAAGAATATGACAAATTGAAAGATATTACAAATTAACTTAATATCATCTATCATTTTAAAATTATAATATATTAAAAGTAGTTGATATGTTATTTAGCATATCAAATGCGTTGTTACGATAGTTTCATAATTTTAAATAAAATCTCACAAGGGTAAATAAGACTAAGACAATTACTTAAGGAATTATGGGTGAGGATTTATAATAACGTCGAAGAGTTATTCTCAATATAATTCATGTGAGATAAATACAAAATAAACACAATGATTACTCAAAATATTTTAGAGATTACGCTTCAGAGACTCCAAGTCAATATAGCAAATCAATACAATATTATATAATAAGTTCACTAACAAAAGTGATTACACAAATATTAAGGGTCATAGATAATTTATAACAGTTTCAAAGGTTTGCAAAAGATAAGTTTTATACTTAGTTAATTATACTCCTTTATTAATATATAATATAAGTTCAGTTCCTAAAAGATTAACATCTCGTCAGTGCTAAGACTCAAAGAAAATATAGAGATATTTATACATGTTGAATAAATAATAAAATAAACTAAGCTAAATATATAAAAAAAAAACTTACCAAATAACTTGTTAATGCATGTGCTGTCACATTTTTTAAACATTAAAGGTCAATATTTGATTAACATTAATAAATTACGTTATTTAATATTAAAGGAAATAAAATTGTTATTTTGCTAAGTAAATAAAGTTACCGTGTCAATAAAATTGCCAGATCTGCAGGCAACTAAATAGACATCTATGATTTACATGATTAATAAAGGTAATAAAATTGACATCTAATGATTTGCATAATTGATCGATAGCAATAAAATGGACAAATTGATCTTTATAAAAGATCTACATAACAATAAAATGGACTTCATATTCTACCAATTAAATCTATCTAAAATTTTACCCATCACAACGGAACTAAACAATAAATAAAAAAAATACCTTTTTATACAATTTTTATGTAGCTCAATAATGATTATCTGATTCATGTTAAAAACAATCAAAAGTAATATAATGTGTGATTTGTATTACTTGCATATTATTTTATAATCAGAAGTATTAATAAATATTAAAAATTTAATACTGAAAAATAATGGTATTAACAAATAAAAAGTTATTAAAGAGGGCAAAATATCTTTAGAATTAAAAGAAATATTTAAATTTAAAGGATTTTATTTTTTTATTGCATTATTTATGATTCATCACTGTAAATATTATGTATATAAAATTTTGGCTATTTACTTTATTTTCTTGTCTCATAATCACATTTTTAATTAAAAAAAAATCATTAAAAATTTAAAGAATAAAAAATTTGTTAAGTTTTTATATAATACCTCAAATATTAATGAACAGCTTTTATATTCATATAAAAAAAATTACTAATATAAAAAGTATACATTTTAGTAAATTTATGAAAAAATTTTGATGCTATTTTATCTGTTGGTTTTCAGTAAATCGAAATTAAAGTTGACTATAAAATAACATGTAGAATGCAGATCATAATCATACTTATTTTAATATTAAACATATAAATTTTTTTGTATATTCGAATATTATTAATCTACATTAAATAATTTATATAATAATTTTTTATAACTATTGTAATTTAAATTAAAATCTTAAATTTTTGTTCTCTTAGCTATTGTTAAAGGTTGAGATCATTTTAGTAAATAAATTTCAATTTTAATTTTCTCAGCAATTAATGAATCATAAAGTATCAAATTTTTTTTAATGAATCAGCCTAATCTGAACTTTGATTTTATAGCTATTTAATCTTAATAAATTGTGGTTAAAAATGCTATATTAAAGTTTTTAGGTTTTTACTGCTTAAATTTTTAATGATATTTTTTTGACTTAAAAGACAATTGTGAGATATGGAGATAGGATAAATAGCTGAAATTATGTATATACAATATTTACATATTTGATAACAAATCTGCAAAATTTAAAGTAATTTTAATCACTAATTTTTTATTTATTATATTTTTTGTAATTTTCATTACTTTTTTCAAGAACTGTATGTGTATTGTTAATTTAGGATGTATTATCAGATCTTGTATGTACATTTATTGAGGTATAGGATGAGGTGTGATATTATTCAAACATAGCAAGAATATGATTTAAATGCATCATTTGAACTATCCATTCTGGTATAAGATCCAGTTGTCTTATCTGATGTGCTGTTATCAATCTTATTATTATTGTTTGTAATCAGCATAAAGGGTTTACGTCTGATATTTTCAATACATTTACTACTAAGTTAACTTCCATCTAAAGAATTAAAGAATCAAAAAAAATAACGATAAGAATAAAATTTATCAAGATACATCAAAATATGATTTTAAAGTGAAAATTTAGTACCTTCTGAAAGATTATTATTGTCGCTTGATTCTAGAAGTTCATCAATTGAATTTGATTTAGATGGACCTTGAATATTAATATCTTCATCCACTTCATCAACATTAGCTGACTCTTAAGTTAGTTCATTTTGCTTACGTTTAATAATAGCCTTCAGAGCTGTTATATTTTTACATTTAATACTAGCCTCTAGAGCTAGTACATCTAGTTGATTGTCATCAGGCACATTAATGGGCTCCTTTGGATTAGCAGCAGTATTTTTCTTTTGACCTCTAGTGGTAGTCTTTGGAGTTGGAGTCAGATCATGATTACCTTCATTAATAATTTTCTTCTTTCAGCCTCTTTTGGCAGGAGCTTTTTGTTTGAAATAATTTCTAGTTCTTAATCTTCATTTAAAGCTAAAGAAAAGTAATTTCTTCGTAAAATTGAATATATTTTATGGTAACAGCCATATATTTTATATGATACAAATTAGTACTTAGAAGATCATCCAAATTATTTTTAACGACAAAAATAATAGTATTTTGTTTTTGTGTTTGACTTTGAATACTTTTTCGAGGCATTATAAAAAATAAAAAACTTTGAATTTTTTTATTTTTATATTATAAAGAAAATATAAAAGAGAAAATAAACTTTGAGTTTTTAGTATTTTAAAGAAAATGTAAAAAGAAGTTGTTATTTAAATAAATAAACGAATATGGTATTGATTTGACGAAGTAATAGGCAATTGGATTTTTTAGTAATATAATAGACTATTGATAATCATTAATCAATCGATTTAACTTTATTTAATAATAATTATTAGAATTTAGAAGTTTAACTCACTAATTAACTTATGCATTCTTATATTTGTAACTATATATAGATTAACTCTCAAAACATATAATCAAATTGAAACAATAAAATTCTATAAATGAAAAGCCTATTAAATAATTTAATAATTTAATAGACTTTTAGATTTTTGATATAACAATTGATTTTTATAAATGGTAACAAATGGCATGATTAATATATTATTTTGCCTATTGAGTTTATGTATTATTTAATTAAATAAACTTTTGATCAAACTTTTTTTCATTCGCATCGTTTCTTACTAAAAAAAATTCTCTTCAAATCCTTTTTTAGTTTTTTGTTATATTTATCAAAAAGGTTTTAAGAAAATGTTTCAAACTTGATATACTTTTAGAAATAGTCGACATAATTACATCAGACAATAATATAACACATTTAATATATCTTTGACATTAAACGAGAAAAATTTAAAGAATGATTATTTTGTAGGCCATAATGAAGATGAAAAAATGACACTAGCTATTAATACAAAAGTGAAAAAGTAACTGAAGTCAATATGGATAATAGTGAAGACAATATAGATGATTATGAAATAGATGAAGATGACATAGAACTCGAAAGTGAGTATGAAAGAATGATGACAGAGTTTAATGAAAGTGATGATGATAACAATAAAGAAGGTGAAGATGATAGAGAAGAAACAAGCGAACAAGATTCAGATGAAGAAATAATTATTGATCAACCTTTCAGTAATAAACAAATACCACATTTTTCTGGTGATTTTGCATCATATTTCAAGAATATTACTGAATTGCTATTTTTTTATTGAATGTAAAAACATCATATATATAAGTTAGATTCTTTCAAAACTTATAATTAGTATAATTATAATATAACTTGCATTAATTCTTTACTAGCTATACAAGTATATGATAAATTAGTAGATATAATTTGTCATTCACAGTTCAGAAATAAAGATATCGTACCAAATGGCTGACGATTTAGAAAGTATAGATAAAGACTGCCTTTACTTCCAATAAAATCTTGCCAAATTAACATTTCTAGTAAGAAAATATTATCAACATCTAAAAGCATTAGAGAAGCATACTATTTGTTTATTATGGACATTATTTGTCATATTTTAAATAATCCTTCATTATTTAGTAAGATATACTTCAATCCAGGCCAAGAAGTTACAAAAAGTAAAGAATTTTGGCATGGGAATATCTGAAAGAAATCTGCAAGATTTGGATAAACATCTATTACAATCACTTAAAATGTATATTACTTTGAAGATTTTATAATATACTGAGAATCTAAAGGATCAAAAAGATTTAGACGTATATTAGCAATTATGCAATAAGATGACTGATTAAAAATTAAGATCCAACATATTCTTACATATGAAGAGTTATCAAATAACTTTAAAAGCAACATCTGAGAACAAAGATCACAAGGTGAAGTTTGATTTTTAGACTGAGAAATGAATAATATGATCATGATTATTAAATTGCAAGTAATTATTAAGCATATATCAATCTCTATTCTCTATAATGATGTTATAAATGACCCTAATTCAATTAAAATTAGAAAAATCCTCTACAGGTATAACAGATACTGAAAGATGAGATATTTATATAAATATCCTTCAGAATTTGCTCTATTAGAGGATCTGGTAACAGATCTTCTGATATATAAGTTATTCATCAATCTGTATTATGATAACTTTGACACGTTTTATAACATATATCACTTATTAGGTGACATTTATATTCAATTTGAAAATATAACCTTCAAAAAAAGAAAGAAACTTAAGAACTATTTCATTCTGTTCAGTGGTCATTTTGATGAGTTTATTAAGCCTTTTATTTCAGAGATGAAAACATTAGAGAAGGGAATAATTATGAATGTTTAAGAAAGTGCGTGCCTTATAATAGCAAGCCTTAGTAATATTACTGCAGACTTACCGCAAGTAATAATCTAATCAGAACAAAAAGATATAGTATAAATAAAGGGTATCGTACATGTAATGCAACTAAGAACTTGTTAATATCTGATGGTCTTGATTTACAGTTAATCTCTCTATATTATTACCAAATGGACAAACA